GGTTAGTTTTAGATATTTGACAGCTAGGGACCACGCCGATTAAGTATTGATCTCGTAGTTTGAGTCGTATCTCATTGCATGAGAAATTCTAATGAATTAGGCCTTTGATCGATGAATGGTAGGTGAAACATTGCAAATGTGGAGTTCACGCCTGTATTTCTGATTGAGGTGTTTACGAACATTTACATAAATTCTTGCTAATCGGGGAGACGCGCGTCGTCTGCTGGAGGCCAGCGACCATGTTCACCGCGAAACGTCGGCTCCAGCCAACGACGCGCGCCCGTCTCCGGATAGCCCAAGAATTTTATGGATTCGAGCCGCGGCCGCTTACTAGTCGAAAATAAATAAAAACTGAAATTGGAGTTATGTACCGAATGGAAGACCACCATCAGAGGTGTAGTAGTGATCGGCGTTCGTTTTCACGGACGTGTACGTTGCTTTTTCCGCAGAGGAAAGCGCGCGGCAAAAGAAGAAGATGCGCTGCTGCTCGCCGCTGGCTGCCTCTTCTTCCAAGAATAAAGGCACCTGCTCATCATCTGCTGGGCGTGCTCTCATGAAGAAGTTGCTGTGGTGGCGGCGTGGCTCTGCTGCCGTCCTGCTGGGGCTGGTGAAGGTGTGCATTAGCGGCGCCACACACGGCAGGCTACACGCTGCATTCCCACCGACTGGTGTCCTCGCCGGGGCTCCCGAGTAGGCCACCGGCCTAGGCTAACCCGGCACGACGGTCGCGGCGCCACCGCCCCACGTCGCCGCCTACAGGCGCCGTAACGCGCCCGCCGGCGCTACGGTGAAGTTTTGACCAGCCGCCTTGTTTTCGCTCTACCTCGGTTGATTGATTCATTGATTGAGTGATTTACTGATTGATTGAGTGATGTAGTTGATTGTTGACGTGATTACTTGTTGATTAATGATTTACTTGAATTGATTGAAATGATTACTTGATTGATTGAATGATTACATTGATTTGATTAGAGTGATTAATTGATTTGAGTCGGTTAATTGATTTATTGAGTGATTACTTGATGATTGAATGATTCTTGATTGATTGAGCGATTGATTGAGTGTTGTTCTGATGAGTGACTTATGGTTTGACTGAGTGATGAGTGTTCGCTTGATTGACTTGAGTGATTGCGTTGATTGATTGAGTGATTTTCGTTTGGATTGATTAGTGATTCCGGGGCGTCAAACTGCTGTCATATGGTCTCATACAGCGCATTTTTTTTATCGCCGAGAGGTGGAGATTCATTTGAATCGCGAGATCCGATGCCGACTAATCTGTTGGTCTTTGCGCGAAGAGGTGGTTTCTAACCAGGTATCTCCCACCAGCGGGGCACCGCCCCAGCCGGGACAAGCTCTAAGCTCCCGACCGGTCTCTCGACATATGTGGTAGTGTAGGTCATGTATATGTAAGTGTGTGTAAGTAAGAGGTGATGATAGGACAAGGAATGGGAAGGGAAGATCGTCCGGGGTCTGTTTCTTATGGTACTGTTCCAGTATCCGCCTGGCATTGACCGGAGGTACCACCAAAAACTACCGAACCGAGCAGCCGGCCGCTAGAATTCTCCTCTACATAGCGTGCTACAACGGCTTAATTCGACTTACCTATCTAGCTACTGTCGAAAATTCTGCCACCGAGTGGAGTGGAACCCTAGGCCCTCCCGGCCAAAGGCACCGCAGTGACATTAGTTGATGCCCTGAGCCGCCGAAGCAGTGCCCTCCTCGGGTTACAGCGAGTGAGTGAATCATATTTCGGGTTCCGGACGCGACAATTACTTTGCTCATTATTCCCGTGAGTGTAATGAATGTTATAACCGACATGTTGCGATGTACCTCCCTCGCAGGAGCATGAGATCCAGCGCCGAGCTACACTCGACTTGTGGGATTTCTCTACCCAGGTATCTCTTCCAGAGGGAACCGTCTGAGACAGAATAAGTTTAAAGCTCCTGATCGGTGTTCGTCTTCTGATACGTGTGGTTTAGTACTTAATGAAAGTGGTTTTTGTGGGTGTATGTACAGGGAGGGATTAGGAGAAAAGTTAAGGAAAGAAAGATAGCGCGCAATCTGTGGCCCGAGTATTGCTCCGGCATTCGCTTGGTATTGGATGATTTAACGTTGTGATTCTGTCGACGTAGACAAAAGTCCATATGGTAATTTATGGTCCTTTCATATTACAAGGATCTACCACTCAGTCGATATGGTCATAAAGTCGTTTATGACTTCATGTGTCAGCATGTATCACTTAAGGAATGTCAATTATCACTTGTTTGAACTGGTCACGAACATTTTGTTGGGAATATGGCGATTGAATAACGATTGTGGTCATTGATTACGAAATGGAGGTAAACATTAAGCAGCCCAATTGTGTTTTAAGTTTTACAAAATGAAAGTCACACGAACACAAAATTCAAATTACAACTAAAATATAGAAATTGCTATGAGATTCCAATAAACTTTTTTTGTGAGGTTTATTAAACAATGCTGCTCATAACATAGACTTGTGGGTCCAGCTCCGGCCTAGAGCGACAAATGTTATTTATTCACGGCGCTTCCAGGCGTTGGAGAGAGTACAGCATTCTCTGGCACTTTACAAACAACGATACAGCAGCTTACATTTCACTGCCCTCTTTTTTAAATAATTTAATGTGACTATTATTTGAGAAACAAAATAACGCCGTGATGCTGAAATTAAAATAGAAACAATGCCTCAGAATATTTAGAATTTGGTTCAAATGCAGAGAGCTCCAGTCTTGCAAATGCTCAGAGCAAATGCTCAGAGGCAACTCCAGTCTTGCAATAAAACGAGAAACGCGTCTCTTGGGAGAGAAACGGTAATCTCCGTGCGAAGTGAGATGGTTGGGGCCTTTCCATAGAACCCACAGCGCGGGCGGCGTCGTGCGCGCGCCGTGTCAGTGCTACGTCATGGGCCGCATCACGGCGGCTGCGAGCTGACGACAACGACAAAGCGGACGCCGTTAGAGACGCCGGGGCCCCGACGCCTGGTCACTGCACCTGCCTCCCGACGGCCACTCCGCTTCGTTATTTCGCGTTGCGTCGATTTTCCTCAAGCACTTACGAGCAAATGTTTGAAACGGGCTCTGATCGGCATATTCATCTCTCAGAATTTAAAAAAAATGCGTGTCATAGCGTCTCTTATTTCACAAACAGAAGCCCATTTCATGGTCACTTTGGGTCATAAAATTGACATTTACTTCCTTTTTAAAAAATACAACTAATTATTTTGTTTAGCATAAGTCTATTATCGCAAATGCAACTTGTTACTGATTCGTTTGTTTCAAATGAAAGAACGAATAGGATGAAACGAAATCGCATCTAGGAAAACAATTATTAATAAAGATAGATAATAAATCTAAACAAAGGTTTGGACGATTTAGTTCCATGTCAAATTCTTCAGGCATATGTTTTTCTTAGACTTTCGCAGGTAGGATGCCGGTATTGGTACAGCCGTGATAGCTGCTCTCTAAGAAATGCTGCTTAAATATTGGATTACCAAATACGCAAAGGCACGGGGAAATCGTACTAGATTTCCAGGCAAATAGACCGAGGGTCATTCCATCAGAACAATTCTCATTTCACCTCGAGAATGTTTTGCATAATGTACTAAATGTCGACTAACTTTGATAACGTAAATATGAATAGTACGAGCTATAGCTATATTTTTCCTTAGTAAACATTATTTTGTTTTTAACCTCACTTTTTAAGCAATAAACAATTAGTATGACATTTCTGTGAATAAAAATGGGGCAGTACGATGAAAGGTAGGTCAAATTATACCTACGGAAAGTTGGGAAAACATGTTGAAAAGGAGGGAAAAGATGGAATTTTACCCCGCAAAATGCTGCTAAACAAAGCAGTTCTAAACAATCCTTCATGCGGAATAGAATAATTACGGGTTAAGATTTGACACACAATAAAATCCGACGCATATTCAATTGAAAATGATTCCTCCTGAAAAACGATTTCTAGTCTGTGTTCAGTAATACCAAACACTTGAGAAGGTAATAGAAAGAATTCATGAACTATGTTTAGAGAAAGTTTAAAAAACAAATTGCGAATATTTGTAAAGGTAATTTCAATTTAATTAATTGTACGATTAATGAATTCTCTATGATGTCGCTAATCACGTTGTTTAAAAGTGACATAAATAATTAAATTAATAAATAAAATAAAATAAAAAAGTCTGTTTTGTATGTATTCATTGCTGACCTTTAAAATAATAGGTGAACATAAAAATATTTCACAAACTCCAAAGAATTCAAAACGCGTAATTTACAGTACTTAGATTCATAGATTTCTTAAACGATGAAATGGAATTTAACATTCCTCACACCTTATTTTCTTCCTCCTCGTGAGTTTATCGAGCAAGTATAAATTAATCGATGTTGACGTATATGGTAAGCGACAGACATGATGGTTTCGTAACGCAATAACAAAGTGAAATAATCTGTGTGTGTGTGTGTGTGTGTTTGTGTTTGTGTTTGTGTTTGTGTTTGTGTTTGTGTTTGCCTTATGCGAGATTTGCAGTCGGAAACTGTTGAACAGCGATTATCACTGCAGTCGGCTGTACTTCTTAATATGCTTTCTATGAACCATTACG